AAGAGAGGCAGAAGTGATTATTTCGTTCCTCATTAGCCCCCCAAATTCAGGTTTTCCTGCTGCACATCCTTGTACGCCCTGTTCTTCTCCCTTGAGGAACTTCTTATGATTATAAATTATGTCTGTATGTGTTTAGTGCCAATCTTCTTTAGCAGAATGCAAATTTATGATGGTTTTATTTGCCGTTTCACCCCTGGAGGTAAGCATAGTCCCAACCATATAGTTGGCATACAATAAATATCAATGGAATGAAGACTCAGGGTAGAAAAATATGTGTCTCCCATAATGAGGCCCTCAGAGGCTGGGCGAAGGAGGTGTCTCAGGCCCTTGTCCTGAGACCCTGACGGGGTGCTGGAAGGGTGAATGCCAGAGGGTCTGCCCTGGTGCTCCAATCTCCCCCCTTCACAGGGTCATTCAGTCAACCATGCCTCATGCGAAATTTGGCGAGTGGCTCTGAGGGAAAGAATCTCATTTTCTCAGGTCCTCTTCCCCAAGCCTGCCTGTCATCTCCTTTCCTCCCTCTTTCTTTCTAGCCCCATGTCTCAAACTCACTGGAGCTCTTCCTTCCCCACACCACCTCCTCCAGCAGGTGGCCTGACTTAACACTCAACAGGGGCTACAGACTCTGACTGCCACAGCTGCAGCTTTGCTGAGGGATTACTTCAGGACCACATGCTTACTCCAGTCTGGACTACACTCAGCAAGGGAACACGGTCATGGCCTCTGACCCACATTTCCGGGCCACTGAAGACGAACGTCTTCATTTTTTGTTGATGCATTGTTGGTCTCCCACCACCAGGGTTTGATTGGTTTCCTTTATCTGTCCAATCTTCTGTAGGAGGCATAGATAGATGGACATAGATGTCCAGGAGGGTCTTCCAGAAATGGGAGGAAAGCTGAGGGTCTCATTCAGAGAGGTTCTCTTTGGAGAGATGGAAGATGCAAATAGTATCCTAGCAGGACTTGTGAAATTGGTGAAGGAAGTAAAAGGCTCAAGTGAGTCATCTTGATTGGGGGTGAGTGGGTTACCTACAGTCTCTCTTTGAGGTGCCCAGTGAAATAGAACAAGAGGCCATTTTCTTGGCTTCCTGGGTCGGAACAGCTATAGTAGGACTTCATTTACTCAAGTTTTCTGGTGGATCTTTTTTGTCCATTCCTGTGCATTGAGAAGCAAGGGCTTGTGCAGGCCCCTGGTGCAGTGCTGGGGTTTCTGTTACAAGACAAGTAGCGGAGGACTCTCTTGGGCTTAGCCAACTTGGGTCTGCTTGCTTGGTCCACCATGCTTGTTGCTGAAAACTTGAGCTGCTCAAATTTCAGAATGTTTGCTATGCAGGTGACTCTGGTAGTATGTTAGTGAAGGTTAAGCTCTTATATGTAGGGTTCTTTCTTCTGGATAAATGATTTCCATTGCCTTTCCTTGAGAATCGTGGCCAAAGTGAGCCTTTATTACTTATAGAGTGTGTCCTGTTCTTTATGTTTATTGCTGTGAAAAAGGTCGAGAGTCCCCAGGTGGAATACAGAGAGTGGTTTGCAGCTTGCTTCTCCTCATAGAATCTGGACTGTAAATTACTCCAAGATTTCTTCCTCTATTAGGGATGTCCAACTTTTTGGCATCTCTAGGCCACACTGGAAGAAGAAGAGTCGTCTTGGGCCACACATTATATACACAAACACTAACAAGAACCAATGAGAAAAAAAGGTTTTAAGTAATTACGATTTTGTGTTGGGCCACATTCATAGCCATCCTGGGCCGTATGCGGCCTGCAGGCTGCGGGATGGACACCTCTGCTAGAATATGGGAGGTGACTTATCCCAGGGAAACTTATATGGTGAATTTACAGGGAGACAAACCACAGATTTTCATCCTACAGACTCTGATATCTCTGTACTCTTTGCCAGGGCTTGGTAGATCTGAATAGCACTGCAGAATCTGGCTGGGACGAGCATTGTGTGACAAGGGAGTGCACTGGTGGCCGAAATGGGGTAATTCTCTTCTCGGTGTATGAACTAGGATAGCACTAGGACCAAAAAATGTGTCCCGAAGAAACAAAGTGATCAAGACACCAAGTGGGATAACAGTCATCATGATTAAGAGGTCTTTTTGTTTTGATGGGCAACAAGGCTGGTTATGTGGTTATAAAACTCTTCTTGGAGGTGCTATCCTGCCAGGACTTACATAATACTCTCTGGCTGAAATGCCCTCCTTCCATTTCTCTGATGTCAGCTGAAGTGGGACAGGAGTGGGTGCAGAGGGTCCTGGGACTCTTGTGCCTCTGGGAAAAAAACAACGGAGTGCTGGATGAAGGTATATACCTTAAACCTGAACTGCTGTGCGTGAGAGGAATGCACAAGGATGGATGCTATGGTAAGAGAAATTTGTTTTGTGCTTTTTAGTACACTGTTTATAAAGACTTCCATGTTCTACTGTTTTAATCCTAAAACAGTCCTTAAGGTCAGCAGGGAAGGCCTTATCATCAACACTTTGCAGAGGGGTAAACTAAGCCTCAAAAGGGACTTGGCCAGAAACATACAGTCAGTAAAGTGCTAAGCCAAGAGTTACACCCCGAAGTTTTGGTTTCAAGTTCAAGCCTCTTGGGGTTCGCTGAACTGGTGAAAGGCAGCCTGAATCATTGGATTCCTCTGAAATCAGTTGTCGTCTCTAACAGGGTCTGGTCACACAAAAAAAGTCAAGCGCCAGGAGAAGCTTGACCTGGAGAACTGCCGGATACAAAATCATCAGGAGACCCCCACTTGGTTACAACATTAACAACTTCTTGAGTAAGACTAAACACGCTAGACATAAAGAGTGCCTTTTGAGAATATTTCTCAAGCCTTGTTATATGACCTGTGCTCCCAGGGGCATTGTGGGTTGATCTACCCACATGGAGAGTGCTCAAGACTGAGCAGAGAAAAGCAACATTGTCCAGGTGGGTGACCGTAAATTAAAGCAGTCCAGCTCTGGCCATCAGCTCTCAGGAGTACGGGACCTGTCACGTGTTGAACCTGTCACAGGACGAGTTCACCGAAAGCCCCCCTGATCACAGACCTCCCTCAGAATACAAAATACCCCAAAGATACCAGAAACCATCTCCTGTTCCTCTCCCCACTTCTGTGGACTACACTGCTAGCTCCCTCCCCTGTCCATTACCCCTGTCCCAATGTTCAGTTTTGCAGGCCAGGGGTCCTTTTGCAATTGTTGAACAGCTTGTGGGTAAGAGGCACAAAAATTAGCTGATATTACACAAAGTGGTCAATACTGGCACAGTTCCTTTTTTCCCCCCCGTCTTTTCAAAGAAAACAAGCACCATGGAATGTGTCTTACTAGCCAGTAAAGTGGAGAGATGGGAACTCCTCCATCTTGGAAGGCCCACAGAGAGGACTTCGCTGCCCCTCAGGCACAGCGTTAGTTCTCTTCACAGTGTCTGGGCTGTGGCAGGAGACCCAGACAGCAGACCCAGTGGGAGGACAGCGCTGCTTTTTCAGCCCTGTCTCAGATGTTGGGGGGCACTTATTCACCAAGGAGCTGAGCCCAGCCCTGGGTTGTCTGGCATCGGGATCTCTTTATGAGGACATTCAAGACTGGTGACTTGCACCAGACTGACATTATACTGAGTGTGAAACTGGAGGGCTCCAGGCCAGTGCACAGATGGGGAGCCAGGAACTGGAGAAAGGGCAGCCCCTGCTCCAGCCATCAAGACAGAGGTAACCACCTGCCCTTGTGGGGCCAGCCCCATTCTGGGCCACAGCCCACACCAGTTCAGTTCGTGAAGCAGGGCAGGTTATCAGAGGCCAGAGCTGGGCATAGTCAGACATGTGCCTGAGGGCTTATGCCAGGGTTTAAATTCATAGACCTGAGACTAGAAAGAGTGCATATCAGTCCTAATATCTCTCGTATTTCTGTTTTGTTCTCATGCTTGTGGTTCCAGGTCCAGTACTAAGCAGAGCCCCAAGACAAGGTTGTCAGCTGAGCTGGGTCCAGAAATCCCCTCCCCTTAAGGAGTCCCAAGTCACCCTGTCCTTGCCCTTTGCTCTCTGATCTGTCCCTCCCATCAGGCTCAGCCTCTTCCCCAGGTTGAGCCCCACACCCGCGAGGAGGACCTTTCTACTGGTATAGCTCAATCCAAGCCATGAACATAGCTGGGAAATGGGAACTTTATATCGTGACCTCAGAAGAAAGGATACAGGTCTGAAACTGTAGACCTTCTCCCCCCTCATCAGCAGTTGGAGAGCCTGCCCCTTAGGTATCTGAAACAGGGGGTCCTCCTGCCACTATTCTTTCCCCCAGCAATGGAGTGAAGTGAGGGAGGGGAGGTCTCCTTCTGCATCCCCCAAGGGTCAGCTCAAGGTGAGACAGTAAAGCTGCCCCAGACACCACGCCACCCGCTGAGCCTGGTAGGGAGGCAGCACTTTTCAGGCTCCCTGGCCTCCCTCCCCACCCCAATCTATGTCGGCCCTTTCAGGGGCTTTTAGTGGAAATGAGCTCAGACCAGCGATGGAGTCTGCCAGCCTCCTCTCCCCCCAGCTCCTCCCATTGCTCTTTTATCACCTCTTCAGTCTCACTTGACTCAGGACCATCCCTCCATCAGGCTGTGTCTGCAAGCAGCTCTCTCCTCCCTGCCGCACTCACCTCTTTCACCCCTCCTTCCTCCCCCGCCCCCACCTCTCCACAGTGTCCTCATTTCCCCCTTTTCCCCTTTCTCCCTGCTCAAACCCCTGCCTCACAGTGCCATCCCACCCCTTTCTTCTTGTCTCCACAGCAGAAGGGAGAGAAAGAGAGGCCCTTGGCAGGATTGATGGTCATCCCCACCTCCTCCTCCTCATCTGTTCCCTCCCCCAAGCGGCCAGAGTCCCCTACAAAAGGCAGGAGCAGAGGCCCTGCAAGACCAGCTGCTCTCAGACTCCCTTTGCCCTCTGCTGGTTTGGCTGGACTGGGCCTTTGCTTCCTCTTTCTCCAGGTGAGAGTGGGTACCTGAGGTGTCAGGTCCCCCACCTTATTCCCCATGAGCACTGTGGAAAGTCCCGAGGGGCAGGAACTGCAAAATCTGGGGAGAGAAGCCTGGGACAACCCTGCTTACAGTGGCCCTCCCTCTCCACATGGGACGCTGAGGATCTGCACCATCTCCAGTGCGGTGCGCCCCCAGCCCCAGCCCAAGAAGCCTGAAGACGGACCCCAGGAGAAGGCACACAGGATCCTGGTGTCCAGCTGCTGCCTCCAGATTTTTCGAGGCATCAGAGGTAGCTTGTGGGGGTGGGGGAGTAGGAGGAGGGCTCTCCTAGGATACTGGAGTCAGGAGAAGGAATCACCAAAAGCTGGCTTTTTTTGGTGGGGATGGGGGAATGTGATCTGAAGAAGAGGTGGCATCTCAGTGTCTCTTTGGGGTGTGTGAACCACCTGTGTAGAGCTGCAGGCCCTGGTACACAGAAGCCAGTCTGTGTTGCCCAGAGGGGAAGCCTGGCAAGGTCATCGCTTGGGAGCCCAGAGGGGTATGCAGGAGCTAGTTTGAGGAAAGATATGGATGTGATGATGCTTTAGACGGCCCCATCTGGAACAAGAACCTCCTTTCCATGCCTCCATCCATGCCTTTGATGGAGGAGGGGAGGCATGGTTAGAGTAGCTAGATTCAGCCAAGAGATAAGGTGATGGGTAAGGAACGGGGCTGGAGTGGAAGAGAGTAAAATCTAGGGACTGATGGGTGGGGAGAACTGGGAGGGACCCTGCTATTGGAGATCTTGGGCAACTCTCCAATGCTTCTTAGGACTTTGGGGAACAACCCTGACGGAGAACACAGCTGAGAACCGAGAACTTTATGTCAAGACCACCCTGCGGGAGCTTTTGGTGTACATAGTGTTCCTGGTGGACATCTGCCTCTGTGAGTAACAACTGTCTCTGTGTACAGTAACATCTGTCCGTCAGAAGCATCTACATGTGCAACATCTGTGCACATACTTCTGCAGGCAACATCTGTATGAGCAGACTGTGTCCTGGGACCTTGATATCAGTAATAAAATTCTATTTATTACCTATTAGAAAGGTGTTAGTAGAAGTCGCTTTGTCCAGAGTTACAAGGGGAGCCCAGTTTTTAAATTCAAGCTCCTGACACCTATTCACCAGCCACTGTTTTCTATTGGCAGGTGGAAGTTTTTACCCTTCTGTAAAGAGTGGATGACCACTCCTTTCTGTTTGGAAAAATATACTTTGGTGGGTTTCACATAGTAATTATACTATGTCTGTTCCATGTATTTCTTCAGAGGCAGAAAGAAAAAGATTCAGCAGGTCTTAGGGCTCATACCCCTGAAAAAAAAAAGGGGTTGGAGATGTAAATGACATGGTGATGGTCAATGCAGGTAAAGTTCTCCCCTGTGAGGGACAGCCGTGCCACAGGCATTGAGGGAAAATGTGAAGCTTTAGCTACAGACAACAGACTTGGAAGACTTGGTCTCCAAGCTGAGAGAAGCCCGCAAAAAGATAGAATGGTAAACCATGAGAAGATACAAACAAGGAACTGTAGATAATAATAAAGTTGGACCTAACAGATTCTATAGGGCCTATAGATAGATAAGGGTGCTTTGTACTCAGGTAGTTCTTCAAAAACTTGCACAACAGGTGCAGTTTGGCTAGTTTCATAGAATTGTGTGTACGTGTGCAGGTTGATTCAAAGCTGCAGTTTGGATCATATGACTAAGGTAGCTCCCTTACTAGGTGGACTTATGCCCCACAGAAGGCTCTGTTTTTAGGATGCATGATTCTTTCGAAAGTGGAATCTGAAGGTCTGGTAACTGGTCTTGATGGAAAATTTTATCTTTGTGAGCCACCCACATTTGTGTTTTCCCTGTAGGAAAGTTGAGCAGAAAGCACTTGCATCTGACTGAACTCTGTTGAAACGCACTGCATGGGGACAGAGGGGACAATTCTGAGTGTTTACCATGGGCCATCAGTGTGGACTGACAAGAGACAGCGCATGTGGGGAACAACAGTCAACCCAGTGTGCATTTTATGGGGCCCATTTGATTCCTTTCAGCAAACGACTGTCAGAAATGTATTTGTTGACATATTCATTTTTTGTTTTCACCATCTGCTAGGAGTGCTCCTCTTCTTTTTCAGATCTCATGACAGCAGCTGAAACCCACAGGCTGAGCCTTCTCTATAAATGATTCGAAGGTCTATATCTCCAAATTAGCCTTTGGAGCACAATTGGGAGGTTTCTAGCCCCCCAGAGTTCCAGTGAACCACTTTTGACTCCTCTGTAAGGGGCTGGAAGGGGTAGACGTGTGGGTTCTGAAAGCCTGGAGGTCCCATATACCCATGTTCTCCACTTTTGAAGATCTTAATGCACTGCTGAATGTGAGATTATCTGTGATTTCCCAAAGCCTGAGTCAGAGACTCAGTCTCATAATTACAGAATCCTTGAGATTTAGAGGTCACCAAGTTTAAGGATGCAAAATTCCCATCTCTATGATCCTGCCTATAGTGCTCTACCAAGTGTCAAACCAGCTCTGTTCTGGAGAGTATCCATGGGGATCTCACTGATTCATGGGGAATCCATTTCACTGCTGGGAAGCTCTATTTCCATTCATCCATAGAGCCCCATCCAAGTTTTGCACAGTGGCAGTATCGTAGCCAATGAGGTTTATCTGAGGCGTGATTATTGCTAATTGAAAACTTTTCCCATAGAGCCCCATCCTCTGTGCCAGATTTTGGACTGAGGGATATGGAGATACTGATTCTTTAGACTATTCAGGGGCCTGCCTACCTTCTCCTTTTAGAACTTTCTTTCTCAAGCCATTTACTTCCATGTTACTCTCTGAAGCCCTAGTGGGTTCAAGGTCTGGTGCTTCCAATTGTCAGCTATGTGATCTGGGGCAAGTTTGCTAACCTTGCTTAGGCTTGGATAATAATCATACCCACCTAACAGTATTGTTGTAAAGGTTAAATAAAATGGCTCACTTATATGCTTAGTGCAGTACCCAGCACATGATAAATAATACCTATTATTATTTTCAACTCACAACAAACACTATAAAGCTATCGTGTTTATAACACTATAAATGCAGTGTCATGAACCCAACAAGTAATGGAGGGTGATGGAGAATTAACCTGATACCTCTAAACCTCTGAAAACCTCCAGTTCCTATGGAGTTGGGCTCTTAGTAAAGACCTTGAAACCATTAAATTACCTGAAAATGTGCCATTCACTGCTTTTGACATTGAATGCCCACAAAGTGTCAGCCCTCTCAAGAAATTTCTTATACAAAAGAAATTGGAGGCTTTCACATCCTGATGGTTCCATTAGTACAAGAGAACGAATAGTAGTTTCCTAGCCCCAGCCTCTGCAAGCCTTTTCCTTCTTTGAGGAAAATCAGACAACATCCAGTCTTGGACATGGTCACAGTAGGGCTACTTTGGCGCTCTCCAAGGTCCTGACCACACATCGCTGGCATCCTATCACCTTGTCAGCCTCTCTGAACTTGGGCCATCTGCAAGTTAACTATGCATTCTAGAGGATGATATAGCCTCTAAAGAGGATGAAAATAGGTTCCTCAAGAGAAACAAACAAACAGACAAACAAACAAACAAACAAAACCCCTTAGGTTTTATAATAGTTTTTGGCCAAAGTTTTTTACAATGCTTCTAGACTGGCTGTAAAAAATACCTTTCAAGAAAGAAGCCAACGTGAAAAGGCTACATACTGAATGATTCTAACTATATGACATTCTGGAAAAGGCAAAACTATGAAGACAGCCATTGCCATGGGTCAAAGGAGGGAGAGATGGATAAACGGATCATAGAAGATTTTTAGGGTAGTGAAATTACTTGTGTGACACTATGATGATGGATACAGGTTGAACTTTTGTCAAAACCCATAAGATGTTCAACATTAAGAGTGAACCCCGATTTAAAAATTATGGACTCCAGGTGATAATGATGTAGGTTCATGGACTGTAACAAATGTGTCCCTCTGGTGTGGAGTTTGAACATTGGAGGAGGTTGTGTTATGTAGGGGCAAAGGGTATATAGGAAATCTCTACAACTCCCACTAAATTTTGCCTTGAACCAAAACTGTTGAAAAGGTAAAGTCTATTTTAAAAATACCTCCCAAAGTTTGTAGTTAGCTCCACATATAGGGGTCATGCCATTTGAGCAGTATCCACTTCTGACATTAGACCTTTATGTTAAGGCATTTCTTCCAGAAAACCTCAGTTCATCACCACAACCACCACTATTATTAACAGCACAAACAACAAAGCTTTAGTGAATGAGTTTTCAATGTGCCTAGCACTATACTACCTACATTATCTCATCAATTACTCCTGATGATTCTATGAAATTGGTTCTATTGTCACTCGCATTTTCCAAATCAGGAAAAGTTTAGATATGTCAAATAGCTTGCCAAAGGCCACACAGCAAATACATGGCAGAAGCACGAATCCAACTCAGTGATTGTTGGCTTAACTCAAAATCTGAGGCTTTGATCTGCTGAAGTCTCCTACAGCCTCTCTGCATCAAGATATGTTTGTTACACATTAATTTTCAACAACCATCAAAATCTTAACAAGAACAACTCCCTGCCCTACCCTACCAGAAGCAGAATCTTGATAGAATTCTACTAGCTGATTACTTTCCTGTCTTTGTATTGCTGTATTTAAAAGCTGATATAAACATTAAAGAACATCTTGAAATATAATCCACCTATAATTCACCACAACACCAAAGATATTTTATGTGTATTTTTTCCATTACCACTCTTTATTCATATATTTACATATTTCATCTAGCTGTATATTTTACACTTTCACTTACAATTATATCACAAACATTTTTCATGTTTGGAAGTAGTTTTTATATTTTCATTTTAATGATTACAGTCACACCACAATTAACTAAAACATTTCTCTTGTTATTTCAATATTTGCCTATTATTGGTTAATATCTTTATCCTTGATACTCTCCCCCCACTTTTGTTGAATTATTTCCTTGAAAATTTCTAGGAAGAGAGATTATTAGGCCAAAAGATAGAAATATCTTCTCAGTGCTTTCCATGTGTTGTCATTTTACCTCCGTAAGGGATCACACAAATTCATTATGCTGCTAGCACTGTAAGACCAAACCAATTTAGTCACAACCTCACCAACATTGGATATTCTCATTTATAATTTTAATTGTTAAATAGGCATAAAATGGTACAATTTGCTTTAATTTACTTGTGCTGATCACTACCAAGGATAGAAACTTCCCTCATGTTTTAATTTATTATGTGTATTTATTCTTTTTTTAATTGCATAAAAAAGATTTTTTTATTGCTGTTGTTCAGTTACAGTTTTCTTGACTTCTTCTACCCCCGTTGCTATCCCCTGCCCCGTCCAACCCTCACTCCCAAAGACAATCCCCATCCCATTGTCCTTGACCATGGGTCCTTTGTACATATTCTTTGATTTGACCCTTCCCCTTCTTTACCCAGTTATCCCCCTCCCCTCTCCCCTCTGGTCACTGTCAGTTTATTCCTTATTTCCAAGTCTCTGGGGGGTTTTTTCTCATTTGTTTTGTTGATTAGATTCCACTTATAGGTGAGATCATATGGTATTTGTCTTTCACCACCTGGCTTATTTCACTTAGCATAATAGTTTCCAATTCTAACCATGCTCTTGTGAAGGGTAGGAGTTCCTTCTTTCTTTCTGCTGCAAAAAATGTTTTAAGATGGGCAAGGGGGCAGTTGGGGGATGAAGATTGGAGCTTTAGACCCTAGGTGAAGGATCAACTGCTAGGGTCATTTTCAGGTTCTGGATTCCTGGGGCTGAAAAGAACACCTGTGCAAGGGATGGGCCCTTGAAAACTATAGTGGTCAGCTATACTGCCCACATTTCCTTTCCCATA